AGCATTTCCCCAAAACGTTAAAATTCTTACATTATGTGGTTATTTTCATTTCGTGTGACTGATAACCACGCTAACTGCACACCGCTGCAAATACAGTTACATCAGTGCCATCAGTCCATTAACCACACAAAGAACTGCAGATTCTGAAGCTATTATCTGTGATCATATACTGCAGATGTTCAGTATGTCGTATATAAGAAAAAATACTTTTTTACCACAGTTTAATAAATAATTTCAAAAAGAGGTCATACTCATCTATTTTTTGTATGCAAAGAAGTGTTTTACTGTTTAAAATTAAAACATGTGTCAGACAGCATTTAGTATACTGCTTCTCACACATTAAATTTCATTAATTTGTATTGCACCTTTCATCACAAAGTATCCCATATGCTTCACTTACAGGAGGGGAAGCCACTTCATCCACTACTGAGATGTAATCACGAACACAGTCGTCATTCAGTGCCTGAGAACATACTATATTACAGAGCCAATGAAAAATGGAAATGGAAATCTACTGAGCCCGCTGAATTAGATTCAAAATGTTAAGAAGTCCAAAGCGGAATTCAGCATTGACACCTCTACTTTTATAACAGTGTCATGAGATCTTTAATGGCAAAGTGGTCAGGACTTCAGCTTACATCTCATCTGAAGGATGGCACCTTCTATGACAGTGTAGCTTGGAAATTTTGAGCCCAGAGAAAAGAGCACCACCTACTGGTCCACCAACGTCACTTACAGTAGCAACCAGGTGAGCAGTCTACATCTCAGTATTGACCTGACCTAAACTTGCTTTGCTGATGAGATCTAACAAGATCAGGATAAAAGGTAGCAATGCCCTAGAGCTGGCACACTATTTACAAGAGAGATATGCAAGCAGAAATACAAGCCATTCTCTGAATGATAACCCCCTTTGAAGCATTATAGTTTTGTCTAGAGATCATCCTAAAAGATTCAAGGATAAAATATTTAATACAGTCTTCAAAAGAAAAAAAACTTGTGGCCTGAAACTCCAGCTACCTTAAAATGTAAGAAAAACACAAGCTCTATGCTTAAAATAGTTCTCTTTCCTTAAAACTTTGTATAAAAAGAATTATGCCATTTTCACATTTGACAATAATGCATTCATAACCTCAGAATCAATAGCCATACATGTATTTCTATTACCACATGACTACCAATTATATCAGCGTTTATACTCACAAAACCTCATCAAGCTGCTCAAGTCTGAATCTACTCCTAAATCCACTAGAATATTCTTCTTCAAAACAAACTGTATCTTTCGTTACAGTATATATGGGAATACTTGCAATGGACATGATTTCACCTGCAAAAAAAATGTATGAAGATTTTTTCTACTTGATCTGTATAGCAGGTAACAATGATGAGGGAATCACCCACAAAATACCAAAATACCAAAATATAAATTATAAAGCTGAAGTGAAAAACGTAAGGCTCAGTACTGTAAAGTACATGACAAGCAGCCTAATATAAAATGATGAAAAGACTGTTCCTTTTGATAAAACTTGTGACTTTCTGTGGTTTTGAGTTCCTGACTGTGCTGCCAAATAAAAAAAAAGACAGACAAACAGGTTGTTTTTGTCAGATGGTTTAAATGTGACTTTTGAAAACAGCTCTAAATCCTCATTTTCAAGACTAGAACACTAGAACAAAGGGCGGTGAGAAACTATAGCCTGTTTCAGCGGCAATCGCCCCCACTAGAACTGACAAAGCCCCCCTGCCCGACTCAGTATCAATGAGATGCGAAGCTACAACGAAGTGGCATTACAAACCTTTCGTAAAGAGGGGGAAGTCGCATCCATCACTTTTTACTTAATCAAAAAAAAAAGTAGAACTAGTCCATCAGATCTAAAATTTGAGACGGCAACAGTCTCAAAGGTATGTTTGCTTTGTTAAAAAGTATAAGAATATATTCAGGGTTGTACCAAGAGACATGAGATATACCAGTTCAATTCATTCCACACAGAGTGGCAATGCAGTGTCGCTCATCACCAAATCAAACATTGCAGCACTGATGAATGACGAATCCCCAAAATATTTGTCGTGTTTTGTTGTTTTTTTTAACATACCTTCAAAAGCATCCAGGAAATGCAAGTAAATGGAGTGCTCATTTCGAGCAACAGCGTCACCATAGGAAAATAGTGTCCGACATGGTCCCAGATCACAGCGCCCAGAAACCCTGCCAGGGCAAAGAAATGATGGACGGCCAGGGGCAGGTCAAAGGAGCGGAACACTGCGTTGGATCCATGCAGAGCCACGTTTTCGAAGGAGAAGAAGGCCGTGGCTGTGAGGATGCTGAACCAAGACCAGTCCTCCTGGCCCCTGACTTTGTCAGCGGAGACTTCCGAGTCCAACATTAGTGCCCACAAGCCAGCAAAGACGCTTTGAATGCCAAAGACAGCCCGGGTGGCAGCAAGGTCCCAGAAGAGCTTCTCTTTGGCTGTCAAGGAACAGTACGTCTGGGAGCAGCAAAGTGAGATGACATGAGCAACCAGAAACACTGCGCTGTAGAAAACAAAGCCCAAAGCAATTATTCTGTAACGCACATCCCAAGACGAATAGTCCATATCAAAGACGCCGGAGAGCACAGTGCTTTCTTGGTCAGACGTCATTATTCTTCTAGTGCTTTAATTTCCCCGCACCCCCCAGGATAATGAGTTTTAGCTTCAGCCGCAAGTCGCTCTGCTCTAAGCGAGCATCCATCCACAAGCCAACCACGGTGACCTGAAAAAAAAAAGGGAAATAGGATGAAATGTGATGAAAGTGTCCACAAGGTCACACTTCACACATCGAAGACGATATGGCGTCGGAAGTTGAATATTAACAGTTTCTTATACAGTATGTGCATGTACATGAGCCCATAATCAAATCTGAGTATTGGGCAGAGAGGCATCAGTCACTCCTGACAGGGAAAATTAATGAGGAGAGGTCCTCTTCTCATGGAAATATATTTTTAAATAACCAATTGCAGAAAAAAAACATCCATGCAAAACATGCACAAACAAAGGAAGGACGTGGGAATTCCTTCCGGTAGGACCCCAGACCCTACACTAATCCCAGAACTCTGGTGCTGGGAGGCTGTGGCTCCCAAACAACACCCCACGGTCTGGCTCATGCACCATGAGTATTCTGATAAAGAGCATAGAACACATCGCAAATTCGGGACTTAACGTACGCTTTGGAAATGCCAAGCCTTTGTGCAATTCTGGGGCAAGATAAGCACAAACGCATCTGTAACTATTTTGCAGCAGCACGTAATTGCTGATTTTCTTCACTGAGGTCAGCACAGCCCTCCCTTATCTGCTCCCTCAGCGGTACTTTCTTCACATCCCTCTGCGAGGTTTGGCAAAACACAGCTGCTCAACCTGCTCTTTATGTTTGTAAGGTTGCTGGGTTGTCTGCATACTTGTGCTTTACCTTATGGAATGATTCAGTATGTCTGCTTTTTCAGTCTTTACCGAAGTTACACAGTACTGAAACAGATCAAGTGAGATACTGCTTCTACTGTAGTATCCCCAAACCAGATGCTACTGTCAAATTTTCCAAACACACCTGTCTTTCCACTACAGCTTGTAATGTGAATCAAGAGGCATTAAAATCACAATAAATGATTCTGTTTTTATCTATCCTCTTATCTTTTAATATTTTCCCATATATATATATATTCGCAAATTATGAGTAAAAATCATTTCATTTACATCACTCCCTAACTGTCAATTTATCTCGGTCACTTGCATATCGTAAGACACCATAAATGGAAGAATTTTTTGTAGATGTGAATGTCATCATCATGTTACTACATCTTAAACTGTAGTTACAAAAAGCAGGGGTAAAAGATTCTACAAAAAAAGACACAAAAAGCCATTTCATTTCTTACAATGAAATCTTCTTTTTTCAGGCTAAAATAGCAGACAGGCTGCAGATTCTCCATATTTATATAGTCTGCTGGACGATGCTAAAACGTGTCTTCTGTAGTTAAGTTAGTGCAAAAAGCTAGATGCCCAGTGATCTTATGATCCTGATCACCAGATCTGAAGCCAACCAATCATTTATGGGATATTCTAGATCGACCCCTGATAAGAGAGTTGACCTTCTCACAGAAGAATGGTGCGGCACAATTCCAGATGCTGGTACATACTATGCCTGTTATTTGCCATGGTTATACCATTCTCACTTTACAATCCACTGAATATAAATAAAAAAGAAATATAAATCTCAAACTGCAGTTCAGAACATAGGTCAGGCTTGGTCAGTGTACAATAGCTGTACATTTCAAAACATCTCCGTTATATCATACTGCATCTCAAAAATGAAGCTAAGTCTTCTGAGTGGAAGATACCTCACTTTTGCACCACAGGGGACTACTGAAGTGCTCTGACACACAGCCAATTAAATATCCCTGTAGAAAGACCAGCTTTAGGCTGTGAACACCAGAGGGCAAAAGAAATCTGTAGCAAGTCACTAGGAAGTAACATAACGCTTTCTAAAAGTAACCTCTGGCACTCCCCAGGGAACATCTATAACTTCCTATTTTTTTACAAACACCCACAGATTAGTTTGCGGACTGGACTTTCAGATCTTCTAGTTCCCATTCGTATTATTTCAAACATAATAAATAGAATGTTTTCACATGTGTATATCTAGCATGTTATCCATCTGTGGAAGAGATATAGGACATAATGTGTGGCAGACTTCAAATAAACTGATATTTGTGCAGGGGTATGGGGTATTTCTCACACTTTTCTCAAACTGTGACATTTGTGAACACTTTTAGCTTAGTCTGACGCCTACTTTTCTGGTACCTGGCATCCCACCAGATTCCAGGGTCTTCCAGCACTCCATGCATGTTTAAAAAATCTGTCCTTCAACAAAGCTGCCTTCACAGCAAAACAAAATACACAGAAAAGCTTATTTTAAACCCAATTTAAAGCCTAATAATGTATGCTGCTAAACTATTGGAAATAAGTATTGAGTAGGGAGGCACATTGGTGCAGTGCATAGCATTGCTACCTCGCAGCGCTGGGGACCCAGGCTGCTGTCTGCATGCAGTCTGTATGTTCTCTCTGTGTTCTTATGGGTTTCCACCTGGTGCTCCAGTTTCTTCCAATAGCCCAAAATCATACTGGTAGCTTCACTGGCTTCTGGGAGAACTGGCCCTGGTGCGACTGTCTGTGTGTGTCATGTAATAAACTGGCGTCCAGTCCGAGGTGTATCCTGCCTTGTGCCCGCTGCTTGCCGGGATAGGCTCTGGCTCCCCTGCAACCTTGAACTGAAAGAAGTGGCTAGAAAACAGGTGCAGAGAAGTATTAATTACTAGTGTACTTTGATGTTTATAGAAGAACTGCATAGGCTATTGCAACTCAACCTTTTACAAGTAAAAGAGCAAAATCAGACTGAAGGGAAGTTTCATTCAGTCTATAGCTGCGAGACTGGAATTAAACTAGGCAACACAAAATGACTTCATTGATCATAGCCGGACCAGTTTAATGCACTTCCCCAATTCAGGGAAGATGCTGGAAATACAGAACAAAACCTATAAAACATGTTAGAGAGTGTCCCCCCAGGACTAAGAAGGTTACAAATGAGGGAACATGTAGAGCACACTAGTACACCTTAGACAACATATTTATTACCTGAAATAGCATATCATATGACGTCTATTGGGATAATTAAAAATTTCAAAACTGGCCCTTCCCAATATAACCTGCCACAACTACTCACATAATTTAAATACAATAGCTATAAACCCCTGTCTATATATTGGTGAATTTATTTCTTCAGAAATGTGATCGAAATAACATGAAGAGAAAGTCTCAGATGAGCTCCAACACTGGTTAAAATGAGCCTCTGACACAGCTCATTTCAAACCTCAAACACTGTGCTGGCACAATTACTAGTCAAATAAATGACTAATCAATTACACATAATAATCAGTAGCGAAATGTATACATTAATGTATTGATTACCCTGCATGTATTGATTCCAAACGGTGACCCAACTTTATTCTAGCTTCATACTGTGCCATCGAAGACGGAACTGATACTTTAAATTTTCAAAAGGTTATTTACGCCACAGCTAAACTGAAACCACGATGTCTCTGTTTATTCACTCATTTAATTGCCTATTACGTTCGGGGAGGTTCAACACTATCAGTAACAAACCATGAAACAAACGCCAGTGAACTGAATACATTCATAACCACTTAAAAGCAACAAAATGTGTTCACTCAGTTTTCAGTTCCCTTCTCCTTTTTGCTTTTCGCAAATAATTTCAGTAAATCTTGTCCCCACAGCACTGAATCAAAATTGAAAAGAACCGGTGCCCAATAAGACTAACCTGGCAAAACATTACCACTAGAAGTGTGCGTTGGGCGAAACCTACAATTAAAGCACTACAACCTTCGGTTAATAGCTAAATACTATTATACAATCATTATACAATCATTTCAAGCAACCGATTTCCGCAGCAAAGTTTTAACTTACCTTCAACCTCAACGCAAGTTTAAGAGATGAAAATCATATGACGTGATTATGTTTTACACGTGACAAACTTGCGGAAGTCCAGCCCCAGTTCAGGGACTTCTCCCTTTCGATTGGTGCACTGGTGCATTCGTTTCCGAATACCAAGCAGTTTATAACATAAGCGCAATAGTTCAGGTGAAGTGTGTGTGTGTTGGCAAGTACTGTATTTTGCGCAATTTTATATAACGGTATTGAAGACTGCCTGCTTTCCGTAACATTACTTTATTTCCCCATGTTCTTCGTGTGCATGGCATGCGATTATAACTCGTTTTCTTGTCTCTTGAAATAGTGTTCAACCCGAATTTGTTTCCACCCTGTCACCGCTGATCGCAAGCAGTCGTTAGAAATAATGATCTTGGAGAAATAACGCTGTATTGCATATTTGAGGTCGAGCGGTGTATACAACAATTTATGCTCTTGTGGAATCTCGGTGGAGAACACGAAACATGCTATTTTCTGCTTACCGTAATATTTCAGTATAACTTCTGTTTAGGTAAAGCAGAAGATTTCAACAAGTGGCTGAGTAATGTGCTGAATGTTTTAATTGCCCCCCAAAATCTACTTGACACAGGTGCCTTCATCTAACTCGGTATCACCCTACACATATAAAATGATTTATGTGTAAGAAATAAGGACAACATATGCACATAGCCTTCGTGTGTAAGCAATTATTATTATTATTATTATTATTATTATTATTATTATTATTATTATTATTATTATTATTATTATTAT